AGAGAGAGAGAGGAGAGAACGAGAGAGAGAGAGAGAGAGAGAGAGAGAGAGAGAGAGAGAGAGAACAGACACACCCACACGATATCGTTCATGATGCACATCAACACCCAATCGGTGCATTCCGAAAGACAAACATACGGCTTTGGTTTGTACGACACTCGACTCGCTGGACCGAATCACAATCACTCACTTCTTCGGGAGCCACCTGTAGGTTACATCGACCCCGAGACGAGCGCTTCATCATGCGCATGACCGCGGCCGAGATCTTCTGTGAGCTGAGCCTAGCAGCGTATTGCACCACCACGAGGTAGAACCGCTCCATCGTCGGGTCGTTCTGCCAAAAAGCCAAAACGCGTGTAGTGCGTACAGTATACGAGGGGGCTCCGATGTAAGAGGGTTCCGTGTAAGAGGGGGCTCCGATATAAGTGGGTCGAAATTGCTTGTCACGGACTCAACCCGCTATAGCGTTGTTGGGTACCGCCTTTGTTCCGGCATAAGAAGGGAGCTTCGATATAAGAGGGTCGGAGGGCTTCATCACACCACCCTCTTGTATCGGAGCCACGACAAGAAAGCTGAACCGAACCGGAGAGGGCAATGCAAGGGCTTCGTTGTTTCCTACACGCGGTCTTAAAAAACAAAATCAAGGCAGTCTACAGGTCGCGAGCGCTGCTTATACACGCTACGGTATGCTTGAACCATCGGACCCCCGATCGCTGTTTAATTCCTCAACCTTTGTCGTTGTCGATGACGTCACTCACTCTGCTACCCGTCAATGGGGACCGACCCTGTTGCGTTATACCGCAGGGAGATACCGGCATATCGTCATCGTGGAATGATTTCCGAGCGTCAGCAGAAGTGGTGGTGCTCTGGTGGCCACCGAGAGCACACAGCGCCAAGAACCTGCGAATAGTGAGGTGCCATTATTGTCTGCCACACCTCATCGAAGGCCTTGTTCTCCATGATCATCGTCTTGCAAAGCTGCTCCGGCTCGGAGCCCAGCTCCTTCGCCCGCTCTTCTAACGGCGTATCATAGTAACCGTGCGGGACCCACTGATACCACATAGATACGGAGACACACAAAGAAGTAGGCCCGATGGCAAGGACAGCATTGTCACAGTGTATGTCCGTCAGCAACAGCAACGTGGCACGCAACACCTTCGTAATTGTTACTTTTTCCCACTCTTTGTGCTGGGAGTCCCGTATAACCTCCTCCGGAGAAAAGCAGGGAACGGTAAGCAAAGCCTCGGGCAAACCAAGAGCAACGCGAACCTAATGCTGCTCCTACGATCCTACGTGGAAATTCCATTCCAATTACTTAGAGTGAAAACCATGGCGTCAAAGAAAGTCAACAACAGCTCGCTCGGGAGGATGCCAGTTCATCAGACAATCAGCGTTTGCCTCAAGCAGGTCGCAAGGGTCTGCGTGAGTACCTTGTATCTGACGCTCGTGGCCCCGGCTCGATGGCAATGCTCCTTAACCCGCTCGATTGGGTCCGTAAGATCTGGCGGCTCTCCTCGCAGCCGTCTCTCTATCGCAACCGCTCGCCTGGCGATGAGCTGGAAACACGCCACCGAAAGCAACGAGTGTTGCGTGTCTTACAAAGTGTTGCTTGATACTGCTATATATGTGATCAAGGTGCGTTTAGGGGCAGGTGAGGTTCCGCGGGGTTAGACAATAGATGTAGACTGGTACACCACCCATGACAAGGCTGCAGATAACTTGCATTCTGAATAGGCATGTATTTACAGCACACAACTGTCGTAGTTCGTTGCGTTAGATACCACACAACCCGGTGGACCGTTTTCGAAGCTCGGTTACTCCTCGACGAAGACGATGCCAATTTCAAATGAATGATATAATTTCGGAAAGCTTTCAACAAATGAGGTTCGAACACTGCCATTTTTTCGGCACTGATGTTGCTGTAGAGTAATCGAGCGTTGGCGACAGGTCCATGGGGTGTGGTATATTATGCAAACCTACTGTTCACAAGGCTTGCAAATTCAATTTGCAAATTTGTCCTTCCTATTCGACGAATAATTGGGAGGCACCTGCAGCGTTTGGTTGGAGACTTGGTTGTCCTTGGCGATGTCACCCATCCTGAACCCTCCGATCGTGGTGGCCGTTTTTGGGTGGGAGATGGTGGGCTCAGGGGGGTCACTCAAATAGGAGTTGGATATACATCAGTTCGTGTATAAGTGCGGGGCCTCAAACAGCGAGCGAGGAGCAAGGCCGTCAAGCACAAGCAGAGCACAGAGAGAGTACAGAGAGAGTACAGAGGAGAGCGAAGTGAAGGGGGCGATCTGCTCTGTGTGCTGGAAAAGCCTGCGAAAATCTCACTTGCAAAAGCTTAGAAGAGCATCATGCGGCATCGTTTTGCGTCACGGGTGCGGGTTCGCCGCGACCGTCACCCTCCCAGTCCAACCTACCTCCCGCTGACTATATGCAGAGGCTTCGCGGGAATAGCCTTCCTGTGCTTTGGAGAGCTCTTCTGGATGCATCTCAACAGAATCGGGCTGGAGGGAGAGGGGAAGCTGCTGGGTTCGATTGCGCTTGTGTTGGGCTCGATGATGGCGACCGGCGCGCTATGCGGAGCCGCAGGCACCATGGTAGGGTCATTGTTACTGCACCTCTGAATGGCTTGCGTGCCGTTTTCTCGGCCGTTACACCGCTTCAACATGTAGACCGCCAGACCAACAAGGAGGTGTTAAGCAGCACATATCCGTGACTGGTTTTGTTGTTTATGACTCGTGGCCTACCGAACACCCTGTTGCGGAGACACTGTTAGCTACCGTACTTGACTTCGTAGGACCAGGGTACAGGGCACGGCCGGAAAGCGGAGGAATTCGTTCGCATTGAAGGATAGGATGATATGAGATACGTGCGATAAGGATGGACGGGAAGGGCTTCCGTGTTCTAGTTCTTGATGACCAACATTGTAGTCGACCGTCTACAACAGCAGCGTGAACGGCTGTTGCTACGCCGTTTCATGCACTCCCCCAGTGGGGATCCAATCCCTACGGTCGGGAAGAGACGCGAGGAAGCTGACCTGGCAGTATCGCATGTGCGGGATGGGAGAGGAGAGGCTGCCGAGAATTGTATGGGAGGCGAAGTGGGCAAACAAAAAGAGGGGTAGACAACCCACGGAATGGGTCAAGGTTGTAGAGGACGTATGGAAGGGGCTCGACATCGGCGAAGATGAAACGCTGGAAACGGAGGGTCTACAGGGGTTCAAGGAGAAGATATCTGTTGCTTGTGCCGAGAGAGAAGAACAGAATCTGAGGAAAGAATCCAAGGATAAGGAGGGTCTAGAAGTGTACGGAATGTTGAAGGAAGGAATAGGGTTCAAGGACTACCTACATGGACCAATGGATGCAGGAACAAAGCTGAAGGTCAAATTCAGGACCGGGGACATAGGCCTTCGAGAACGTCGACGAAGACATAGGACGGTAGACGAGGAAGACGACGAGTTCAAATGTGATTGCGGCTTCGAATGCGAAGACCGTGTTCATGTAGTCGCGGAATGTCCGTTGTACAAGAAGGAGAGGGAAGTGTACGTGACTGAGCTGGGAAAAATAGATGGAACGTACAGGGAGATGTTTGAGGCATGGAATAGAGAGGAAAGGACGGTAGCTGTAGTGGGGCATAGGAGGTGGGTTGACAAGGCGGGAAGGGATATCGTTAGGATAGACAGACAAGGGAAGACATTTTTGAGCCACCCTTGGCAAAGTAGAAAGGAACGATTGGGCGTCGGTGATCGGTCCTGTGGGAACAATGCTCCGTCCTCTCGAGGACGCGTGGTCAATGGTCTAACCGCTAAGACATGCAAAACATAGGAGTACGCCCCCCCCCCAGTTGGCTGATTTGGTTTTCGTGCCCGCCCGGCCGCCAGCGCTACATACAGGCTACAGGTGGCAGAAATAGCGAAAAAAATCAATGCCGTCAACAATCGAAGGCGTCCATCTACGTAGAGGAAGGACAACCTCCCCCCCTTCCGCAAAAGTCCGGTCAAGACCTTGCTCACGAATCTATCGCCCTTCAACCTTGTTAGGGAGAACAACCATAATAAGGAGGAACTAACCACATGAAGTTTAACACTTGTCTCGCAGCCGAATAGGATTCCACCCGAGATTTCTGAGTTGCAGTCAAGATGAAAAATTGTCGCAGTTGCTCTTGATGATTTGTGGATCGCAACGAGACAAATCAACGCCTGTACCTACAGCAGCGGGAGCTCTGGGGAGGCCCGGCTTCATCATTGTTTTGAGGAATGAAATAGATAAATAGGAGGTGGATCTGTTTTCAAGGATGTGTAACCCGGGGGTACTGAACACCGGATCTGGCTACTGTAGTTTGTACCATGGTGGGCGTTGAACAAAGTTTCTGTCTATTATGTACAAAAATATTTCAACAATTCGACCCACCTACCAGGGACTGCCTTCCCCATCCCCATACACCCTAATCAGATCTCGTTTTATTTCCCCTTTGGCTGCGTTGTTGTCCAGTTTTCCGCGGATGAAGGAGGTCGGCTACCCCTCCTGGGTGCGGTGTATCTCTCAGCTCCCCTCTCGTTGGCAGACCTTATTGCGGGCATCACCTTCATCGTCAAGCGGTCAGAGGTGAACACCAAAACCACGAAATAGCCAGGGTTAGCTTTGGTGGCGTGGTGTTCGAGTTGGCGAGGCAGGGAATGAGAAAAGACAGGCACACACACATACACACACACACACACACACACACACACACACATCTGGTAACACCCGCGGTTGGAGTCGCTTACAGGTTAGTTTTGCAGCCTCTTGTACGATGTCTCCACAAGGGCAGGGCGACTCGTGAGCTGCACCTCAGCTTCTGAGGCTGACGGGTGTGCCGGGGTGGTTAGGTTCAGCAGAGTACTACAATAGTCGGTGGTAGTTGCGGGTACCATCGACGGCCTGAAACGCGGCACAATTACGTCTGGAAGATGGGCGGCTATACCGTGACACACCACAAACCGCGCGTTTGACCAGGTTTCTCCTGCCTTCCGTAATATCCTCGTTCCAGGAGACACACCGCGTGCGGCGCGACAGACTAAAACAAGCCACTAATTTTTGTGCAGGGCATTTGCACCCTCCTTCCCAATGCTGCATCCACCAACTACCCTAACCCGACCTGTCAACCGTTTGCACCTTTTTTCCAAACACGGCACCCTCCCTACCCCCCTATCAACCGATCCGTCCCTTCCTAACACTGCACCCACCCTCTACCTAAACCGACCTGTCAACCGATTCGTCCCTTCCTGACGCTGCGCCCACCCTTCACCCTACCCAACCTGTCAACCGATTCTTCCCTTCCCAACCCCGCACCTAGTCTCAACCTGTCAGCTGTTTGCGCCCTTCCCACGACTGCACTCACCCACCCCAACCCGACCTTTCAACCGATTTCTCCGCACTGCACCCCCTCCCCTACTCCAAAACCGACCTGTCGACCGATTTTCTCTCATGAAAACGTCAACAGGTGCTGCGCCTGGACCTCGAACACGAACAATCCCGCGGAGGCCGACCGCACCCGGGGCCGCCAAGCCCCATCCCCGGTGGCGACGACCCGGAGTCCCAAGCCGACTCCTTCCGACGACTGTACGACGCCTTCCTTTGCATGGCCCTGGCCTTTTCTGTACTCGAAGCGCTCATGTTCAGGCTCGGCAGCAGGCGTATCGCGGCCAACGCGGAGCGGCATCGGCGGGCCCAGGGGTTCGGCGGGAGCTTGGTGTATGGGAGCGGGCTGGAGTCGTTGCTGGACGAGGAGGACGTGAGGCGCAATGGGTGGGAGGACTGGAGGGGGGAGACCGTGCAGCAGGTGTGCGTTTTTTTGCTGCGGGTTTGTCGTGTGGGGTTTCTAGAAAGCATCATCGACCACGCTAAGGAGATGACCAATAAATGCCGGGCGAAAAACTCCGTCCCCCCCGGTGTTTGCCATCGGGGTTGGGTTTTCGTCGCTTGGCAACGACGTTGTAAAACAAGCCGCCCCCCTCGGTTTTGCCATCGGGATTGGGTTTTCGTCTCTTGGCAAAGACGTTGTAAAACAAGCCAATTCACTTCGTGAACTCGGCAACCAGGTTACCGTTTTTT